ACATAATTTATTTAAAACATTAAAGATTTCCTGGCCTGTACTTGGTATTACATGGATCTCACAACTTTTTACCGTAGAACAACTGAGTTGCGAGACTTGGTTTTTTGACAAGTATTGTTTTTGATGGGATAACGTTTACTATGATCTACTCCGTATTTGTGAGTCGCACGGCCGGCCGGCGTGGCAGAGGCGCGCGCGCCGCGCTCGCACGACCGCGGCCGGAGCAAGGATCCAATAGCATCGCGGCAGCATCACCGCGCTTGTTGGTCACTAATAAACAATATCCATTTGGCGAAACCGGGCTTCGCTATGTAGATGCGTCCATTTTCATTTAGTTTGCATTGACATGTTCTTATACGACTTGCTACGGCCTGCACAGCGTTTCATTGACGCCGATTGTATTATTTGTGGTGCTGGTGACGAAGACTCTCCAAGTTCAAGCTGGATCGAATATTTCAAATCTAGTAGAGTATTCTACAATTCTGTCTAAAACTCTGGACAATTAAAATTGTATGTGTTAAGTGATTATTAAAAAAAAAATAAGAAGTCGGGCGTTGTTAATGGTTTTTTAATTTATTTTAAGACCCACCGCGGAGCACCCAATAGAGGACTACCAAGAATGGTAAAAATTAGAAAACTATTGTTCATCACACAAAAACGGTGGTATCGAGAATCGCTATCGAAAGTATCGATACCTTCTCTGTATGGTGTTAGAGACTATCATAGTTCAAAACTGCACTCAGCCCGCGACCGCGACTTAGTGCGAGGCGAGGGCAAGCCATCAGCAGCCGAGCCGCCCCCGCGCGCCACGCGGCCACTTTGGGCAATCGCTGCGTCCGCAGATTGGCTCTCAGGGCGGAGAGCTGCCTGTTTGGGCGGAGATCCAATTAAGGCGCTCGTAACTGAATCGCGCGCGCTTTATGCCCGCAAATGACGTTCGGGCCGCATTAGCAGCATTTAACCGCATCAAGGTCCACCTGGCAGCCGGAGACACCACTCCGCGTCGATTGCTGCATTACCTAATACGCATTACATGTCATGTGATGCATGATATGCAATGTCTTGTAACTTGTTATTATAGCTCCCAGTTAATAACAAGCACAAATCACAATAAGAATCCGTCAAGCTGAACATTACGAAACACGTTTCATGATTAAATTAATTTCATTATGACACTACTTTCAGTCTGTAAAACTAGTTTCATTAAAATAATACTAATAGTATCGAGAAATCACAGTATGCGTTCATGGCTCCGAGCTCCCGCCAACACAGAACTTTATTTTGCATTGCAAAACATATTCGATAATTGTCATATGTCATACGCATGGCAGGCGCTTTCGCGACACTAGTTTCGCGTCCCGTTTATACGATGACACACTTGCACGACACTAGTTATTATACTAAGTATATCCAAAAATACCTAATTTATAATTTATCGATGTTTTTTTAACTAATATGTATTATTTAAATATTTTATTTATAGCCCTTGTTCGCCAAATAAAAATTAGGATCCTAATGGTGAAAGATTTTTTGAAATCGGTCCAGTACTTTCGTATAAACAATAAGTACAACATGACTATTCGAAGTAAAATTCACGCGTAGAATCGTGTCACCTGTAAAATACAATTGTTGCCTCTATCGGTAAAAGCGAGTGACACGTGACCGCGGACGAGAATTAGTAGGTAGGTAAGTGGCGGCTGGTGCGCGGGGCCCGCGTGGTTGGTGCACCAGCGCGACGGGCCCCGGGGCCCCGGAGCCCCGGAGCCCCACGCCCAGGGCCCCGCGCCCGGCCGCCGCGCAATCGACTGCGATAACAACCGCGCCGCGTCATGCGATAAATTGTAGTTCGGAGGCCTAAAGGGGATTTCAATTAAGGCGAAAAGCAAACGAATTTTCAATTGTAGGCTATTTTGTTTGAATATGCACTGACTAATCAGCGCAGCGTGCGTGCGAGTCGGGCGCGCACACAGCCGCCGTCCGCAACAAGACGCGCGTGCGACGCGCGCTGCATAATTAATCGCGCCTATAGAAACCGCCCCCGCCCCCGCCCGCCGCGAGCCACTAATGATAAACTCAACGGATTTAACCTTTCAGTTTCAGCCCATTTGCACTATTTAATTATTCATGCCAAACCGTCACATGACACGATTACCACTCCTGGAATATGATTAGCGCAAAAAAAATCACTTGTTCGTTGTTGTTTGTGCAAATGTTTTGAAGACCTGTGATTATTTTATTTATTTATCTATTCTACAGGGTGTAGGTAAATGGGTATATGAATTATGAGCCGACACTAGCCCATGTTAACATGGTCATTTAAAGGGTATGGTGAAGTCAGAAAATTGATATCTTCATTTAAATTATTTTAATTTTCATACAAATCGGATTTTATAACATTTATTTTGTATGAAAATTTAAAAAAATAAAATGATGATATGTAATTTCTGACTTCACCATACCATTTATATGACCATGTTAACATGGGCTAGTGTCGGCTCATATACCCATTTACCTAACACCCTGTATACTCGTACTTCTATCAGATGCGATAGGGTAGTAAGCACTGCTATGGTTGCCAAAAATAAATTGGTAATTAGCCGTTTAAAACTTAAGGCACATTACATTTTACACTTATTTGATTGATATGTTACATATACGAGTGGTGTTCAGAAAGTACCTAATGAGAATATAATATTTCTAGCCATCACAAAAATATGAAAAAAATTGGGCAGGTACCTTAATTCTTCACTTTAAACTGGTAAAAAAAATATTTAAGTTCACCATTGCGTTTAAGAATTACATACATTCATTTGAACGCGACCAGTCGGAAAGACCTTGTTTTCTGTGGCCAACGCACCCGTTCACAGCCCTGAAGTTGCGGTCGGTGGGATCAAAAAAAAATTGCGTTTCAAAATGCTCAAAAACTCATCATATTCTCTAGATCTGACTCTCAGCTACGTAAGAGCTCTTTTTCCGATTTAAAAAGTAGTTGAGGGACCTGATATTTGAGGAATTGTCGAGAGTGTCCTTTTTAGGCCTTACTGGAGTCAAGAAAATCCTCCGACTGGTCGTGGTCAGGTGAATGTAATTCTTAAACGCAATGCTGAACTTAAATGAATTTTTTATCAGTTTCTACTGAAGAATAAAGCTACCTGAACAATTTTTTTCAGATTTTTGTAATGGCTAGCAATATCCCATTCTCATTACTTTCTGAACACCCCTCGTATTTAGAGACGTATTTCAAAACGAAATACGGTTAAGTATTAGGGTGATGACGTTACGCTACCGTTTGGAGATTACATAGAGCCGCTGGCAGTGCTCGGCGGCCGCCGGAGGCGCCGCAAATTGGCGTCTCGGAGCACCGGCATTGTTGCCTCTAACTGTGTTCACTCACAAGAGCCTACTCAGCTATTCTCTACTGTCTTATATAGTCTTCGTCAGAATCTACATACAGGATTGTATAACTGTCTCCACTGCAGGAGGACGACCCTCACTAATAGCAAAGGTGAGGATTTGGCCTACACGAGCCGCCTACACTCCCCACGCTGGCCAGACGGGTTCGGAAACTTTGTATGCGGCAGTGAAAAGATCAATCCTACTAATATTATAAATGCGAAAGTTTGTATGGATGTCTGGATGTTAAATTGTTTGTTACTCTTTCACGCAAGAACTACTGAAAGGAATTTGATAAAACTTTACAATATTATTGTTTACTAGCGGCCGCCCGCGACTTCGTACGCGTGGATCCCGTTTTACTCCCTTCATCTATCTTACGCGGTTTAGATTTTTCATACAAATGTTTTTTCCCGCTAACTCCCGTTCCCGTTGGAATTTCGCTATATCCTGTTGTAACTAAGCTTTAAGTTTACTAAGGGACCTGCATGCCAAAGAAGAACGGTCATCTGTGACCCAGGCCCGACAGAAACGAGACATACCTCAGTTTTTTTGTCATGTCTTAATTAGTTAAATTATATATTTTNTGCCTAGGAGTATGAAGAATAATTGTACCAAGTTTCGTTAAAATCCGTCGAGTAGTGTTTGTTTCGATAAGGAACATACAGACAGACAGACAGACAGACAAAAATTTTACTGATTGCATTTTTGGCATCAGTATCGATCACTAATCACCCCCTGATAGTTATTTTGAAAATATATTTCATGTACAGAATTGACCTCTCTACAGATTTATTATAAGTATAGATAACCCAGAATAACATATAGGCTATAATTTATGACGATAATGTGACAAACTAAAATTCACGCAGGTGTAGCCGCGGGCAAAAGCTAGTAATAAATAAATTACAGCAACCTTAAATTACAAGACTTGATAGCGCGTGGACTGTGTAAAGTTGGTGTTATTGAAAAGTGTAGAAAGAAAGACATCACTCACGTGAGACACTGTAACGTAAGTGTACGTTTGTTTTAATTACTAGCTTCGATTCAATAAATAACTCTCTATAAATGAATAATTAAACAGATAGGTACTACAGTATTCAACACTGGTATTATTCGGCTCTTAAAGGTAGGTAAGCGGGAACAATAGAGGCGGTGCGGTGTTGTGATAGCTATCAAAGCTTGTTTGTCAGGCTGCAGAGACGCAGCCGTGCGGGCGATGCGAGCCGCCATTGTCGCCGCGCGGCTGCGGCGCTAAATGCATTAGCTCGCAGGCGGCCTTCTGTGCGCTTCTGGACACGTGCTCGGCGTCAATCCACGGCCCCCGAGGCCACGTATTCACTACTGTCTACTGACCATATTAGCAAAGCCTCCGAGAGCACACAGGAATTGCCACCAACCCCATCTTGGAGTCAAGCTAATCTTGGGGTTATGGTTAATTACTATAATTTGTAATTGTTTACATAATGAAGTATGTACAGAAAAATTCAAACAGTTTGACCCCTGATACATAGTGATCATGAAGGGGCCCCCCAAGGCTTCATAGTTCCGTGTATATTAAATGAGAATCCTGGAGTGAGGAGAAATGCTGCAAAAGCGTCACCCACCTGCCGTTCTGCGGGCCCACGTTGCCGTCGTTGAAGGAGGAGGAGGCGCTGAGGTCGCGGTCCGGGATCTGCCCGCTCTCCATGCCCAGCGGCGCGATGCATTGCGCTGCAACAAACACACGACTCAATCATCACATCACAACCACAACAACGCCGACGCAACTGAAACTACTTTCAACAACTGATGGATGTGATGAGTCAGCCTTTTGCATTTACGAGTATAATCGTACTACTAATAAGATACAGTCGTGCACACAATAGCGGCACATCAGGCGTAACATAATGATTATAATCTTTTTTTTTTTTTTATTGAAAATATTCAACTTTGAGTTTTCAAAGTTGAATTTTTTATCGTGGTTTATACTTTTGTTATACTTGGCGGCTCGTAACTAGCTATCCTAATCATTATCTATAAAAAAAAGTAGGTTGCAAGGTTCAAGTAATTTTGAAAGCTTGTAGCGCAAACAGAATAATTATAACTTAAAAAAAACCGACTTCAAATGCGTGAACACAAATAATACCTATTCAACAAAAAAATAATCGTTCAAATTGGTTCATAATCGGCGGAGATATTGCGTATAAAAAAGTTCATCCCCAATTTTCCACCCTTGGGGGTTGTTTTGCTTATTATTAAATTTAAATGGGACCACCCTTGAGGTATTACCTATACGCCGAAAAAAGATTTGTTCAAATGGGTTCATAATTGGCGGAGTTATCGCGTAACAAACATAGAAAAAAAAACACGGGTCGAATTGAGAACCTCCTCCTTTTTTTGAAGTCAAATAATTAACTTTTTAAAAAAATAAAACCGACTTCAAATGCGTGAACACAAAAAAAAACAAAAAATTGCGTATAAAAAAGTTCATCCCCAATTTTCCACCCTTGGGGGTGAAATATTTTCTTCAAATTCGCATGNACATAGATTTCGAATATAAAAAATATATAATTTAACTAATTAAGACATGACAAAAAAACTGAGGTATGTCTCGTTTCTGTCGGGTCTGGGTTTTTTTTGTATGGGGCGTGACCGTTCTTCTTTCAAGCGTCTAACTTAAGCGGTTTAGATTTTTCATACAAAAGGATTTTCCCGGTAATTCCTGTTCCTGTGGGAATTTCGGGAATTCCTTTCTTAGTGCACCTCTACGGTACCTAAGCTACGTCCCTTATAAATTTCAAGTGCCTACGTTTAGCCGTTTAGGCTGTGCGTGGGTATGTCAGTGAGTCAGTCATACAAAAGGAATTTCCCGCTATTTCGAGTTCCCGTGGGAATTTTGCAATATCCTG